GCCTCCCACTCTCTCCCTATTTATTTCAAAACCCCCTTCCCCTCCCCCTTTTCTGATGAAGGGTCTAGGCCCGAAACGTCAGCCTCTCTGCTCCTATGATGCTGCTTGGCCTGCTGTGTTCATCCAGCCCTGCACCTTGTTGTCTCAAAAAAAGGACTGAATGGTGTACTCCTGGTTTGTATATTCAGACTGCTCAGTACACACAATTGCACGAATTTCTCAGACTAGGTTAGGATCTTAGTGTCTGGAAGGGATTATTATCTGACTAAGCAATGAGCGCATCATAGCCTGAATCACAGCTGACATCGACACTGTAGATAAAGCAGGCCAAAAATATAATGGTTTTCTAAATGTTTGAGAGAACTTGCATCAAGATGCATTTATTGAATAAGGCCACTGAACCTGGAGCCGGATGTAAACTTAAATAGCTACATCAGGGAAGAAGGAAATTTTTTTTTGTTTTTAAAAGGTTCTTAAATATTTGGCTAATTGACCATTTCCTTCAGCCTTGTGTGTCAAATTCACATGTTTTCTTCACCCCTCCCTGTGTCAATCATCCCTGTGAAACATGGATTAAAGGAGTTTTAATATGGGAGTTTAATGCTCCACCCTTCGTAAATCCAAGTTGTCCAAACTAAGCTGTCTACATCCTGTCCTTTCTTGTCGTATCCTGCCCTCTTGTACTACTGTCCTCACCAGCCTAGCTGTCTGTCCAAGGCACCAAATGCAAAAAAAGTTTCATCTCTCATTCACTTACCTCTCCATGATTTTATCAGTTATGATCGCTGCTTTACCTTCATTACATTAACTTCTCTCTTCCATCTCTGACCTCTTCTGCATCAGCTGCTCCCTATATTCATTTCTCAGACAGAGTCCAGTTTAGTTGTTTTAGTCTTACACGGAGGATATCTTCTGCTATACTTATAACCTCCTCTCTTCACTCAAAGCCTCAAGACTTTCAATAGCTCTTTACTCATCTCCCACAACTGACTATAACTGTTTTAGCATCCAATGTTGCATGTAACGTAACAGCAGACAAAGGTCTTTCAGCTCCTTGAATGTGCTGCACTATTCGATAAAACCATGGCTGATCTGCTCCAGAGCCAACAGAGTAAATAGCTTGTGAGGCCTGGAGTTTTTGTTTTAAAGTTGGAACAAGAGAAGCAGCCTGAATGGATGGTGTCAAGTTCCCCTGGAACCAGGATTTTTACTTTTACTTTTCCAGTAGCAGTTGCTGGGATCTTGAAGCTGGGTTTGGAAGCTGCAATCCATCACACCCTGCTACTCTGAACTTTCTCTTGATGTTCTGTCCTCCTGGACTGGAGAACTGCATGTGAGACAATCTATTTTACTGAATTTGCCTTTGCCAAGTATGTGTTTATGGGATGCCACTACATTGGAATAGTTACTGTTTAGTAGTTAAATAATCTATTATTCTGTTAAGTTTTCTGATAGAGTTAAGTAATTCTAATTCTTTCTTTTGTTGTATTTTAACTGTAGTGTATGAATAAAATGTGTTTTGCTTCAAGACTGATAGTTTGACCAATTGAATTGCAGCCGGAACACAACAGCTGGCACTTGCATTTAAAATAAGACAAGGTTAGGATCTAGGCTATCTTCTTCATATACTTTGAGGGGGTTTGGTCTGGTCCATAACACTCTGCCTTAAAAGTACTCAATGAGTCCACATTCCACTGCCTTGAGACAGAGTTTCAAAGTCATTCAAATGTCAAAAAAGTTTCTCCTCATCCCTGTCCTCGAAAGGGCACCTCCTAGTGTGCCCTAGTTCAAGATTGCCCAAAAGAGGAAAGATCCTTTCCATGCCCATCTTGGCAAGACTGTTCAGAATCTTATAACCTTCAATGAAGTCATCGCTCACTCTAAGCCCTAATGGAAACAAGTCGAGCCTGTTCAATTTTTCCTCATCAGACAACATGCTTACTCCAGGTATTAATCTAGAAAACCTCCTTTGAACTTTCTCCAATACATTTACATCCTTCCTTAAAGAAATGAAACCAAAACTATACACACTATTTGCGTTTCCACCCTGTGCACGCCACAGGATGGTTTGCAACATTAATAATTCCATATACAGAAGAAAGAATATTCTGCTATGCTCTTAAATCTTGCTCTTCACCAGCCCCTCTTTAAATTTTCTTGTCAGGAATTCTGAAGACTTTGATTGGTACTTAAAACTCAAGTGCCAAATATAATCTTATGAAAACAATCTCATGCACGATTGTTTTCCCTGCTCCAGAGCTCAGGGAATTAATTTGGCACAGCAAAAAACTTTACCTCCAAATATTGTCCGTACTTCCTTAGGATTCTTGGAAATCAATACAGTGGACGTTTCCAGAAGTGGATCTGCAAGCGATTAATAATGTTGCTTATTTGTGACGGTTCTTGAAGCCTTTTGTCAGTCCTTAATACGCAGTTTCAGGTATTAGATCCTATGTATCACCATTATTTAGTTGAAGAGATTTTTCTCTACTTTAAGGAGAGCCTCCTGTGTAGATTATCACCAAATATCAGTCGGTCACTGCATATCAAGGTTTTGCTATGAGGTTTTATTGATCTTTCATTGAGCTGAACTGTTTGCAAGATCACAGGACACACCCACGGTACACTGGAGTGGCAGTGATGCCAATGATAACCATTTCCTCCTGAAATTTTCAGTTTCATGCAAAAAGGCTAACATGGCATAACTTATTAATAATTGAAAGGCCAGTGATGGAAGGTTCCAGAACAGTTTGCCAGATGCTGTTCTCAGATTTCCAACTCTGGCTGGCTGGATAGATTCCCAAATATCTCCTCACATCCTGCTCTTCAAAATACCGTTACCCAGTCTCTGAATTTTCTCCCCTCTCTCTTGGTATTGTTTACGCAATTAATATCTCATTTCTGTAGACTCTAGGAGAATTCCAGAGGATTGGTCACCCCGTGATGTTTAGATAACTATTATTTGTCAGAGTAAGTTGAGACACCATTTTTTGTTAATGCTAAATTTAGGAAGTTGTGCTTAAAATGCATTGGCTAGATTTCACTAAAATTGATGCCAACTCATGCTTGTGCACATAAGAAAGAAACACAAACTTCCCAAACCAGTACAATTGTCTGACTCTTGCCTCTTAGAGCCGGGGGCATTGCCAGTTTCCTGGGCAGGGCCCAACTTGGACAAATTGAATTTTGAAAATAGAATCTGGACACAAAATTCACAGAAGCAAGTTCTCCCTCTGCTACATCAAAAGGAATTAAACAGTCAATGTAAAGATGTGGGTTTCCTCCAGGTGCTCTGGTTTCCACCCACTGTCCAAAAGGTGTGCAGGTTAGGTGGACTGGCCATGCTAAATTGTCCATGTCCAAGGATATGCAGGCTAGTTGGATTAGCCATGGGAAGTGTAGGGTTTCAAGGATAAGGTAGGGAGGTGGGTCTTGGTGAGATGCTCTTTGGAGGGTCAGTGTGGATTCAATGGGCTGAATGGTCAGCTTCCACATGGTGGGGTTTCTATAATTCTAAGATACTTCAGCAAATCAGTTCTGGAGCTGACCTGGTATTGTGCAATGAGATAGGATTGTGGAATTTCCTCAATGAAGGCCGAGGCACCGCTAGATAGCAGCAACTGCAATAGAACTGAATTTTACATTCCATTTGAGGGAGACAAGTGGGACTTTTGTACAATTTAAATTCAAATAATCACATTTGTGAGAGCTTGGAAACACAGCTGGCTGAAGTGAACTGGCAAATTAGGCTAAACCATAGGTCAATAGAAATGCATTAGGAGATATTTAAGGAGATATTTCAGAACATACAGAATAGACACATTCTAATGAGCAAGAAAAATTCCAAGGGACAGACCCACCATCCATAGTTAACTAGAAATGCTAAAGATAGCACCAAACTTAAGGAAAAAGCACACAATTGTACAAAGACAGGCAGCAGGTCAGAAGACAGGAAAGAATATAAAAAGTAGTAAATAATAATAACAAAAAATATAAGAGAGAGAAAAATTGGAATACGAGAGAAAGCTCACCAGAAAAATAACAGCAGATTGTATACAGAGTTTCTATAAATATTTAAAATAGAAAATAGCTAACAATAAATTGAGTGTTGGTCCTATAGAAAGTGGGACTGGAGAATTAATAAGGGAAATAAAAGTTGCTGGAGATCACAGTGGGTCAGGCAACATTCCTGGAGAGAAAGCAAGCTAACATTTTGAGTCGAGGTGACTCTTCATCAGAGTTGAAGAGAAGTGTGGAGGGGGTAGCATTTATGCAATAGTGGTGGGGGGGTGGTTGTTCGTGGGTTGTGGAATGTTGAGGGAGAAAGGATGTTGATAGTTCAATTAATGAATCAGAATGTGAGAATGGCAAAACAATGGTGTGTCTAATTGCCAGACTGGAAAGAACAAACAGTCCCACTGGGATGGGGGGAGGGGAGAGAGGACATGGTGACAGAGAATGTAATAAGTAAAGCTGAAAGACAGGAAAGGAATGGGAGTGGGTTCACAATTTGGAAGGTGATAAACTCAATATTAAGTCCAGAAGGTTGTAAAGTACCTAGTCTTAAGATGAGATGTTGTTCCTCCAGTTTGCACTATGATTCACCGGAGCATAACAGCATACCAAGGACAGACATGTGGGCATGTTAAAATGATAGGCTCCTGCTTGCACACAGACAGGAGGTGCTCTGCAAAGCGGTCACCCAGTCTGCATTTGGTTTCTCTAAGGTAGAGTAGGCCACACTGGGTGACGAGGGGGGGGAGAAGGGGCAGGTGTTGCACCTTCTGTGGTTACATGGGAAGGTGCCGTGGGAAGGGTCCTGGTGTTGGTGGTCGATGAATGGCCTAGGGTATCCCTGAAGGAATGATCCCTGCAAAATGCAGACTAGAGGAGTAAGGGGAAGATGTGTTTGGTGGTGGCGTTCTGCTGGAGTTGTCTGAAATGGCGGAGAATGATCCTCTGAATGTGGAGGCTATTAGGACAAAAAATGAGGACAAGAGGGGCCCGATTATGCGGTTGAGAGTGATGGGAAGGGGCAAGGGCAGACGTGCAGAATCATAGAATCCCTACAGTGTGGAAACAGGCCCTTCGGCCCAACAAGTCCACACCGAACCTCAGAGCATCCCACCCAGACCCATCCCCCTATAACCTACCTAATCTACACATCCCTATGGGCAATTTAGCACGGCCAATTCACCTAACCTGCACATCTTTGGACTGTGGGAGGAAACCAGAGCACCCAGAGGAAACCCACGCAGATGATGGGTCAGATGCAGTTGAGGGCCCTGACATCCTCAGTGGGTGGGAAACCACAGTTATGGAAGAAGGTAGCATCATCTGAACACCCCACATCCTGCAGGGATTCCATCCCATTCTCCCAAATTCCTTCACCTCCGTCACATCTATTCGGATTACATCATTTAGACTCGAAATATTAGCTTGCTGTCTCTCCGTAGATGTTGCTTGACCTGTTGTGATTTCCAGCATTTTGTTTTCAGAATTAATGATGAAAATTAAGACAATGGCAGATGAATTGAACAGGTATTGTGCATTTGATAAAAGTAAGAACCCAGAACCAGTGATGACTGAGGAAACGGAACAGAGGGACAAACTGTGTAAAATAACAATTACTGGAGAAGTTGTACTGAAAAAATTGTTGGAGCTGTGGGCTGACAAGTGCTTGGATCCTGATGGACTTCACCCCAGAGTCTTAATAGAAGAGGCTAGCTAGTCGGTGCATTAACTTTCCAAAGCTCTCTTTATTCAGGATGGTCCCATTAGATAAGGAGAAAACCAATGTATTCAATAAAGGGAGGGAGACAGAAAGCAGGAAACTACAAGCAGTAACTTAACATCTGTAAGAGGCAAGATGTTAGAAGGTATTATTAAAGCTATAATGATGTACTTGCATCAGTTCAAGGTAATCAGCAAAAGACATCACGGTTTTATGAAATTTTACCTAATCTATTGGAATTCTTGGAGAAAATAACATGTGCTGTGGATAAAAGGTGAACTGTACTTAGATTTCCAGAAGGCATTTCCTCAAGGGTTGAAAGGTTCTCAGGTAGATAAGAATGTGGATTTGAGGCTACAATTGATCAACCAGGTTCTTACTGAATGGCACAGAAGGCTGTTTGTGTGTGTGGCAGGGAAGCTGAATGGCATACTCCTGCTGCTCATTCATAAACTTGCATGTTCAGATCTCGCAAAGTAAGTACTTTGCATACTTTCCAAAAATAAATCTGTGTGAATACCACATGGAATTCAAATCACCAAAGGAGATTTTGTCCTCTTCTTTAGCTTTGATGGGTAACAGGTCAAATTCATTATTTAGTTCTTGCTCACTTACCCTAATGATTTTGTTTCTTTCAGTGGCCAACACTGCACATCTTATGGTTTAAATGGACTTGCTCTGAAATCTGTCTAAAGTGAAGCTACTCTCCCTCAGTAACCTTTTCCACTGGGAAATGCCACAAAGGATTCCAGCTTTCAACCCATTCATTACATATTTTGCTTGTTTTCTGGTCCAATGGAGAACAGCACAGACTTGCAATCCAAAGAGGTCAAAGGATAACAGGGGCTCTTGGTCAATAAATCTCCATTTTGTGCTCAACAGCACATGACTGGGTAAGCTACCGTCATGACCCCAGCATCACTGTCTGCATCACTGAAGAATTGTACTTGCTGAGATTCGCTACTGTTTAATCTAGTCTGCAGTGAGATTTTCCTCTGTCTGCTCTTTAGATACAGGGAGGATGTCATAACGTTCACTGCTATGAAACTGAACTCTAAACTTAGACCTTAAAAGGGCCCACAGAGCCAGAGTAAGTGTAAACGATAACTTTAAAAAGGCCAGAATAGAAATCAGAGTCCCTACAGTGTGGAAGCAGGCCATTTGGCCTATTGAGTCCAAGGAGCATACCACCCAGACCTATTCCTTTACCTTGTCCCCATAATCCTGCATTTCCCATAGCCAATCCACCTAACCTGCACATCTTTGGACTGTGGGAGGAAACCAGAACACCCAGAGGAAACTCACGCAGGCACAGGGAGAATGTGCAAACTCCACACAGACAGTTGCCCGAGGGTGGAATCAAACCCAGGTCCCTAGTGCTGCGAGGCAGCAGTGCTAACCACTGAGCCACCATGCCACCCCATTCACTTGGTGAAAGTAATGCTGCTGAGGGATCGTAAGCTGACCTTAGACAAACATGATAGCAGAACCACCAAGTGCATTGTTGACCAGCAAGGAAAAGAAAACCATTTGGGCATTAATAAGATGAAGGAACAATGAAATTATAAATTTAATATGTGACCAATCGAAGCTAAAGTATGGGAAGAAATCTTTTCATTGATGTTGATTGTATGGAACAGAGAAGGGCAATATTTGGAAAGTCTGCAAAGTAGTTATTTTACAAATCTAAAGCTATGCGGAATTAAAAAGAAGAAACTTGCATTTATTAAGCAACTTCCATGACCTCATGATATCCCAAAAATCTTCAGGTATGTTTTGAAGTGTAGGTATTGTTTCCAAATAGAAAATATAAATTAACACAGTTCAAAAGAACAGGCTTTTTATAAGGAACAAAAACAAAGTTGCTGGAAAAGCCCAGCAGGTCTGGCAGCATCTGTGAAGGAAAAACAGAGTTTACGTTTCGGATCTGGTGACTCTTCCTCGGAAACGGTCTGAAAAGGGTCACCGGACCCAAAACGTTAACTCTGTTTTCTCCTTCACAGATGCTGCCAGACCTGCTGGGCTTTTCCAGCAACTTTGTTTTTGTTCCTGATTCACAGCATCCGCAGTTCTTTCGGCTTTTTATATGGGCTCAGTAGTCAATATATCGAACTGAAGGTAATGATTGAGGCTGTGTGTTAGCGTTAATAAAGATTGAGGGTTTGTCTCTTTTAAGCTGAAACTCACATTTATGAGGGAAATGTCTTACATTGAGAAACCTAAGAGGAAATAGCAGTAAGAACTGGTCATCTGTGTTGGATTCTTCAGGTCTTTTTTGAGTTTCTGCAAAGATTTACAAAAATTCTTCAAGATCATCAGATCTTTACTGCAGTCTCAATATTGCTCATAGATTTGTTTAAAAATAGACACTTTCAAATTTACAGAGGGGCAGGGTCTCTGATATCAGTTGGCTGTGTCAAAGTAAGCCAGCAATGATGGCTGCTCACCTTGATAAGGGCACTGCTATGTTTAACTGTCCTGAATCTTTATACCATCCGGTAAATCTCCTCTGCACCATCTAACCACCGGAGATCATTGGCTAATTGTAGAACAGAAATGCACATTAAATTGCATGTTAACACAATCCAAGGGGGAAATAATTTACCTTCAAAAAGTGTCCAACTTTCACTGGTACTCTCCGAGATTACAGCAGTTGTCTCTGGTACACGCACTGTTAGCAAATTCAAACGTAAAACAAAATAACCATGTGATTTTTTTTTAAGTCCTTCCATCATTATTACCAAAAGCACAGATGTAAAACATGATTGACCACATAGATCATAAGATACAGGAGCAGAATTGGGCCATTCAGTCCATCCTGTCTGCTCTGACATTCAACCATAGCTATGTTTCTCAACCCCATTCTCCTGTCTTCTCCCTGTAACCTTTGATCCCCTTACTAAACAAGAATCTATCTCTGCCTTAAAGACAGTCAATGACTTGGCCTCCACAGCCTTCTTCAGCAATGCATTCCATGGAGTCATCACTTGCTGAAGAAATTCCTCCTCATATCGGTTTTAAAGGGTTGCCCCTTCACTCTGAGGCAGCGCCCTTGGGTCCTAGACTCTCCAATTTTCTCTATGTCCATCCTATCCAGGCCTCTCAGTATTAACTAAGTTTTAATCAGATTCCCCTCATTCTACTAAATTCTATCAAGCAAGAACCCAGAGTTTTCAACCATACTTTATATTATAGAGATCTCATGTGCAGCATACTCTGTATCACTCTGTTTATATGTCTGAATATAAACAGTGAAAAATATATTGTAACTGCCAGTACCTCATGGGGGAAAGCATTTAGATGCTACTGAGTCAGATGATGAACCAGGATTCTAATGGATAGCAGAGCAGACTCGAAGTACCAAAATACCCACTTCTGCTCCTATTTTCTATACCTCTATCTTTCTACCAGCAATGGCAATGGCTGAAGGTGGTAGCTAAGTATGGGCGATAGTTCTGGCCTTGCCAATGATGCTCACACCCCATGAAAGTATAAAAGGGATGCTGTGGGTCAAAGGTTTAAAGAGGATCACGTGGGATAGAGTTTGGAGGGGGAGAGCCAAGGAGGTTGGTAGGCCACAACACACAAGGCCTAAACCTACCATTCAAATTCCAGAGGTGCACTCCCACTCCCCAGGTCTTAAAAAGTTCTTTCCTCAAAATGACTTCTACTTCTGATCCTCCTCTCATTTGACTCCCCAAGCAGGTTAGCCACTGACCTCCCATCTCCAGTTAAAACTGCATTTGTGCTGGTGTAATGTTGGACCCCAATCTATTCAATGAAGGATCCAAGGACAGTGGCCCCTGCTTAGAGAATATGGGACAAATTGAGGACAAAAGGAAACCCAGACAGAAAATAATTGGTAAATCTGTTGCCTAATTTAGTGGTCAACCCATCCCTATTACTTGTCTTTTACTCCAGTTCTACAAGATCCTAACCCACACCGAGGTTTTCAAACATTTTTTCTCCAAGGACTCCCTTCAAATATTGATTCCATGACATTGTTGGAGCTTTTATATATATTTTTCCCTCAAAGAAATATTGTCATCTGCATTTCAAATTATTCCTGTTGGTTGTGTCTTGAAAAGCTAAATCCTCATTTTCCTAGATTTCAATGTCTGCTCAAAGGAATAAAGGGGGAAAACGGGTCTGCTCTCTCGTTAGAGAGAGAGAGACAACTGGTGGTGAATTAATGTGAGGATCACCACATCTTAGGAGAGGGAGAGATTGAGAAGGAGAGTCTTTCAATGTTAACCTCATTCAGTGCAAAAATTGGACCCATGTTGTTAGCATCGGTTTGCATTGCAAACCAGCCGTCAGGTAACTGAGCTAACGGACCCCCATACGTATAATATCCGAGAAACGAATAGGTATTTCTATTGCCAGCTCAGTGCTGCCATTCAGTATAATTTCCTTCAAATAAAAACAAAAATACTGCGGATGCTAGAAATCAGAAACAAACACAGAAAGTGCTGGAGAAACTCAGCAGGTCTGGCAGCGTCTGTGGAATGAGAAACTGAGCTCTTGTTTGGAATCCAATATGAAGAGTCCACAGATGCGGCCAAACCTGCTGAGTTACCTTTCCTCTTTGAGAGAGAGGTAGTCTTACATTATTATGGGGTGAATTTTGGTGTCACTCTCAAATGAGCACTGCTGTGTTCAACTTTCAACATTTTGTCATTAACTAGCAGTACTTTCCATTTGTAAAGTTTTCTTAAAAATCACATTTCAGTGCTGCTAAGTTTCAGCAAAGTTGCATAAAAAGTGTTTTTAGAAGATAGAATTGGCAATTAAAGTAATTTTGGAGCCAGGCCTAAAAACTTAGCTGAAATGAATAGTCTCATTGCCAAGCCAGAACAAGCTTTTCAAATTCCTCTCCCAGATCTCGGCAAGCTTCTTGTGAGATTCTTTTAAAAAGGAAGGCTAGAAAGATGTTTACAAGATTTGAGATTTCCATGCAAATGCATTTTAATAAAGACAACATGTTAAATATTGACATCCAGCCAGAAAAGTATGGTCAATAGAAAATAGAATTGAATCATTAGTGAAAGCATTTTAAAAAGTGTTGAGAGTTCTTGAGAAGGGGGGATAATACCATCAGTTCCCTGGGGTTTACCTATGACTGTAGCTAAGGGGATTGCAGCATGCACTGTTTAATAGTTGAAAAACTCAAAACAAATTAGCCTTAATGCAGAACAATGGACTGAAAAGCAATGAAACCACCTCCCCTTCTCAAAAACTAAACTAAGGCCAACATTAACTGGTGGTTAATTCACTGCCAGTTGTCTCTCTCTAATGAGAGAGCCGACCTGTCTCCCCCTTATTCCTTTGAGTAGACATTAAAAGAGTGAGTTTTGACTGAAATAAAAGGATGTGGGAAACTACACAGAGAAATTGTCAAGGTAGATCAGAGGGATGAGCTGGAATGGGGACAGCAATTGTGCAAATGGAAAAACAACAATTTTTATTCGATGCACACACAAGCATACTTAATGTTGTGAATGCCATTACTCTTGGATACAAAATGTATAAAATGTCACATTCAACTGCAGTTTTAGTCCTCCACCTCTATGGTTCCTCTACCAATGAGAAATTTTTTTTGATACATTCACAGTACGTGGGTATTGCTGGCTAGGCCAGCATTTATTGCCCATTCCTAATTGCCCACAGGGCAGTTAAGAGTCAACCCCTTTGCTGGAGTCGCACGTAGGTCAGACCAGGTAAGGATGGCAGTTTTCCTCCTTAAAGGGCATCAATGAACCAGATGAGGCTTTTTTCCAACAATCAACAATGGATTCATGGTAATCATTAGACTCTTAATTCCAGGTTTTTAAATCTTTAATTCCAATTCCATCATCTGCCATGATAAGATTTGAACACCGGTCCCCAGAACATCACCTGGCTCTCTGGATTAACAGTCCCGCGATTATACCACGAGGTCATCACCTCCCCCCAACTGTTGGGGGATAACTATAAAGATGATTTTCTACGTTCTTTATTGAAAATACAGGACAGGTCATTATTTATACAATCACAATTTGAGGAACATCTGACCATTTTAACTACACCTTTGAGCAAATACTTGCCTTTCACTTGCGTGGCGTTATCGCCATTAGATATCGAGAGCCACCTCCTATTCAGGTTTGCAATTTCCTGCACCTTACATCTGTAATGTCCTTCATCACTGTTGTGAAATTTGTTGATGATCAAAACGTAAACCTTGGCAAGTCCCTGTTCAAAGAATTGAAGCTCACATCGATGCTCCCTACAGTTACGGAATGCTTGCACATGGCCTGTTCGATTTAGCCTCAGAATCCTTTGATTGTCATACAGTGAATTTGAAAAGAGCCAGACCAGAGATAAGTAACTATTCTTCCTCTTCTGTTGAGATATTCGACAGAATAGGGTGCCCCGTTGTCCTTCAGTGAACTCCACCACAGGTCCTGGGGTTACGATGACCTTCAAGGCCTTACAGACATCTGCAACAAGGAAGGAAAAAAAAAAAAAAAAAAAATCACACTATCAATATATGGAGATAGTAGGAACTGACGATGCTGGAGAATCTGAGGTAACAAAGTGAAGAGCTGGATGAACACAGCAGGCCAAGCAGCATCAGAGGAGCAGGAAAGCTGACATTTTGGATCTGGACCCTTCTTCGGAAAATTTTCTGAAGTGAGCAATGCTCTGCCAGAATGTACAGATAAAACTGTGCAAAGAGGACCTACAGAAAGTCCTGAATCAGAACCAAAACCCATACACAGAAAAACATCTGGTTGTGATCATGATCTAGGTGGAAAGTAGAGGTGAAAAAGGTACATTCACATGCAATCGAAGGAGATATGATGAAGTATATTGAAAGTCATAAAGTTGTACAGCACAGAAACAGACCCTTCAGTCCAAACCATCTACGCCAAGCAGATATCCTAAATTAATTGGGTTCCATTCCATTTAGCCTATATCCCTCTAAACCCTTCCTATTCATGTACCCATCCAGATGCCTTTTAAATGTTGTAATTGTACCAGCCTCCACCACTTCCTCTGGCAGCTTATTCCATACACACACCCCATGCTCTGCATGAAAAAGTTGCCCCTTAAGTCCCCTTTAAAATCTTTCCCTTCTTACTTAAACCTACGCCCTCTAGTTTTGGACTCCCCTACCCTGGGGAAAAGACTTTGGCTAATCACCCTATCCATGCCCCTCAAGATTTTATAAACCTCTTTCAAGTTACCCATCAGCTTCCGACACTCCAGGGAAAAATTGCCCCAGCCCTCTCCCTGTACCTCAAACTCTCCAACCCTGGCAACATCATTGTAAATCTTTTCTGAACCCTTTCAAGTTTAACAACATCTTTCCTATAGCAGGGGGCTCTCATGTCATTTCTCAGGCATTTTGGAACCTGCCTTTCATTTGTGAACAAGGGGACTTAAGGGCTTTTTCACCAGTTCTGAGGAAGGGTCACCGGACCCGAAATGTTAACTCTGATTTTTGCTTCACAGATGCTGCTAGACCTGCAACTTCTGTTTCAGCAGAGCTCATCAACATTGAGCAAACCCAGCTGGCTCAGCTCAGGGATAGTAGGAACTGCAGATGCTGGAGAATCTCTGAGATAACAAGGTGTAGAGCTGGATGAATTTCTGAAGAAGGGCCTAGGCCCAAAACGGCAGCCTTCCTGCTCCTCTGATGCTGCTTGGCCTGCTGTGTTCATCCAGCTCTACACTTTGTTGGCTCACCTCAGGCTTTGGTGAGACAGCTGTGACCTAACAGCTGACTGCTGTTCAAAAAAAAAAGTTT